TAATCTTATTCTTTTTTTCATTATTTAGAGAATAGTTTATTAGTTTCTGTAATCAAACCCACGCAGATATGACCTTACATATTTAGTATGATGTGTTATCCCTGTACACATGGAAAACAAATAAAAAATAAAAATAAAAATAAATTAACATTTCTAGGCCAATATGGTTGACCATTTCTGTACAATGCCAACTCAACACAGTAAATTGGGGTGACTTTTTCCAAAGTTGGCAGCACTGTTAAAGTTTCCCAAAATTCAATTTATATATGTGTGTGTGTGTGTGTGTGTGTGTACATATATATAAAGACTAATAATAGTATGTTATGCATCGATAGCAGCAACAGCTTTTCCAGGTTCTGCAGTCATCTGAACAAAATTATAGACATTCAGCACATTCCATTAAAAAAAAAAAAAAAAAAAACAAAGAAAAGAATAATATCCAGACAACAGCAAAGTTCTGTTGCTGTTGTGGTACCTGGCACCATTTTTTCTATTAGCCTCTTAATCATCATCTGGAAAGAGAACATTCTAGAGTAATATCATTAAATGTAGCTCTGATAAAGCACGGTCCCTACTATGTATCATAAAGCAGGTACAAGATATTTTACATTCATAGAGGTATGATACAGTACTGTCCTACATCAATAATACTAGATTCAGTTTTGGTTTGAAATTTACTTTGTCTGCAAATAAGATTGCTACCCCTGTTTTTTTCTGGGCTCCTGTCACATGGAGAATTGTTTTCTATCTTTTCACTTTCAGTCTATAGGCTTCTTTTTGCACTAGGTGTGTTTCTTGTATACAACATACTGTTGGATTTTGCTTCTTATTCCATTTTGCCAGTCTATTTCTCTTGATTGGTGAGTTGAGGCCATTGACATTGCTGGTTATAACTGATATGTACTGACTTATTATTGACATGTCATTGGCCTTTTGTTGACTCTTTTTACTTTTTCACCTTCTCCTTTTAATTTCTTGCCTTGCCTATTTGATTTGCTCTGTTGGACCTCATGGTGTTGTTGCCTTCATTGTCTTTTTCTAGGATCTTGTTTAGAATTGCTTGTAGTGCTGGTTTGGTATTCATGTAGTTTCTCAGGTGTTCTTTGTCGTGGAAGTGTCTTATTTCCCCATCCATTTTGAAAGAGAGTTTTGCAGTCTAGGTTGGAGGTTGTTCTTTTTTAGTATGTGAAATATCTCATTCCAGGCTCTCCTTGCCCCAAGGGTTTGTGTTGAAAAGTCTGCTGTGATTCTGATGGGCTTTCCTTTGTATGTGATTTGTTTCTTTTCTCTTAC